AGCGCCAAATTGAAAAAAAAAAAAAAAAACTTAAAATGTGTTTCATTATTACAGGTAAGCGAGGCTAAGAAGCTTAAAAACACACTCACACAGGGTTTCCAAAACTGCGTCATGTAACTGTAACATCAAGTGTCAGCTACACGTTCAGACATTAGATGCCGCTACTCACAGAGAATAAGGGGAGAGCCTGGCGGGTGCACTGCAGCAGCCGGTCCACGGCGTCGGGGTCTGCTGGGTTGAGGGCCTGCTCCAGGTCGGCCTGCTCCACCACAAGCTCCACCAGCTGCTGCCGCCCGTTTACCGACTGCAGCACGCGCAGAGCGGACACCACCCGCATCAGGAGCACAAACTCCTCCCCGGTGACGTCCTCCAACACCTGAGGAGAGAGATGTTTGCTAATTGCTGCTGGCTAGTCTGAAGGAATCGCCGGAGAGAGCTGCTGTGTGAGCAGGAGCTTCGTCTGGAAGGCGGGGCTGGGTCCAATCAGGCATTTATTCTTTTTAAAGCTGAATGGTTGCCACGTACATTAAAAGTATTTCTCAAAGATGCATGAAAGAATTAAAGCAACACTCCAGGTATATTTTTGATGAAGGAATAACATAACATGATGCAAAGCTCAAAAAAGTTGATTTTGCATGCATTTAAATAGCTCACCAGTTACTCTCTAGAGAGTTCACTTATGAATCAATGACACTCTTAATAAAAAATAAAAATAAAAAAAAAACACTGATACAGCAGTTGTTTAGTAACAACCCCACAGTTTATAGGCTTATGTTCGCCTTTAATCCACCCCTTTTTACCTTCTGTCTTTAAACCCCCCAGTCCAGGTGACATTTCCCGAATTCTCAAACCCAAAGCCTGACAGGTATGGGGCAAGGTGAGAGTTCATCTATCAAACTGACTGAAGATGAATACATAAACTAAAAGCTGGAGCATAGATATTTTTATAAGCGTATTTGTGAGCCTGCCTCTTTATTATAAAATTGAATAGAATTTCAGGTTTCTGTAAAACTTTTCTTCAGGTGAACTTAGAAACTGAACTATTAATGTTGCAGGTTAATTTTCTAAACTATAAAAAACTTACAGTTAGGGATGTTCAAATATGAAAAATTGGACTGATGTTGGTAACCGATAGCAACACTACTATCATGTTAGATTTACCAATATTTTATTTTACAATCTTGGTTTTTCTGATTACTCGATTAATCATAATAATAATCGATAGATTACCCAATTACAAAAATCTTCGTTTACAACAGTCCTAATTATTCATATTAATCATTTTCATTTTGACCTTTAAAACGCCGTAATTTCCACATAACTTGCTATTTTAGCCTGTTTGATTATGTAATTATTCAATATGAAATGATCCAATTTTCTTCTACAGCTTCTTTTTACTTTTACTAAAGTAAAAGCATGTTCAAGTATTGTTGCTCTTACTTGAGAATAAGTTTTGACTACTCTACCCTCCTCTATTTACCAGTCTATCGTGTTATATGTTGAGCTTCCTCCGTTAGCATTATCCAAAATTAAGAAGAACGACCGAAGCTAACCGGTTTCCCTCTGAAAACAAACCTTCTTGGTCTCAGCGAAGACGTAGTCCTCCACCTCCTTCGTCATGACATCCTCGGGTAAAGTCTTCAGCTTGGTGGCCAGGAACTTGATGGCCCTTTCTCGCACGATGTCCTCGCCCTGCAGGATCTGTGAAAACAGACCTCCGAGGGTCCCTGGACCACCGGGGACAAAAAACATATATATATATATATTTTTTTTAAAGAATGCTTTAAGAGATTCTTATAAACAAAACCAACGCCTTTCCACCAGATTCTATGATCCGCAACATGCAAACATGCAAAAAACCCTTACCCTTAGCATCCATTTTGAAGATCGAAATTAGTGCCGCGTTCACTTGGTTGAACTCTGCAGTATCATCTAGAATGATAGCGCATAAGATTATTAGGACTACTTATTAGCCCCAATAAAAATAGTAATAAACCTGATCCACATAACTCATTACCTGTCTGAAGGAGCTGGGTCAGAATGTCAGCGACTCTGAAAATGTTTTCGCCTGTCGCGAACCGGGGCAACTCCTTAATGGCTTGTCGTCGAATCTGGATAAAGATGGGTGGAGCTTATTTTCAAGACCTGGCATCTCGCCTGAAAAACAGCTCAGGACTTTCTGTCGAAATAGCTAATTACATTAGACAAAGTGCAGCGGTAACGGCTGACACCAGGACCTAATGATGAATCGGCTGCACAAAGGTTTGAAAGCATTTTAGAGTACTGATATTTCACAGTTCTTTAAATGAGAATCACAACTAAATACCTAAATACATTTTACAGATAACATTACTGCTACCAGGTCATATTTAACAAAGACTTGTTTGTCAGATTAAAAGCACCTTTTGAAGGAAAAGGAAACAACTCAGATGTAGGAATGCCTGAATTGTTGGGGGGTTTTTGTACTCACGGACACATCTTCATCCTCACAGAGATCAAGCTGAGCATTTATGGCAGCATCAGCCAACTCTGGAAAGCTGCTGAAGAACTTGGGGATAAACTGAGCTGCCAGTCGCTTCTCTTTGGGACCTCCCCGCACGCCATCCAGGATTGCTTGGTATGCATCTTTGTGCTGCAGAATAAAATACACAAGTTAATGAGTCTGATTAAAACAAAAACAAAAAAAGAAAACAGACAATATACATGACATATGACTGCTGCCGTTTGTGGTAGAGCACTCAAAAACAAAACAAGCTTTTCAATAACCTATTGTATATGTTGCAGTTTTGATTATTCTTAATGGATAACATGATATATACATACACCCAAAAATTAAAAAAAATTATATTTGTAATACTTATTTTCTGTTCCGGTTGACAAAGTAGAATTTTACAAATAAGCTAATAAATGAGTTTATAAAACATATGGAATAAAAAAATAAAATAATTCTTAGTTTAATTTAAGGATTTAGCTGTAATTTTTTAGTTGTTGTTTTTGTTTTTTTAAAGGAATGATGCAACCGAAACATTAAATTGTTCTGTGGAGTAATCTTTGTTGCTGTATCTAAATGGCAACATTCATATTTTTAGAGAAATTTGACGTGCCTTTTCTTTTCTTTTTTTATTTTAAATCTCCCAATAAATGTACTTTTATTGGCAAATGAAGTACTATTCCACCCACTACAACAACAACAAAACATTCAACAAACAAAGATTTTGACTCAAAACCTCTAGCAGGTTTGACTATATATAGGACTCGATTACTATTATTTTTAACTTACAAACACCGTCTTATTTAGGAATTATTTCGATGCTCTTTCTGAGAAAAGTTATTTTTTTCCCTCTCCACCAACCCAAACGGGATGAGAATGTTTCTATCAGGCTCCACAAACTGACAGGACAAAAAGTTCGCATCCCCGGTACCAATGAATCAAATGTGACTCCGTTCAAACTATTTGTCGGAATTAAGTGTCGCAAATTCTAGAAATGTGGGTCAGAATGAAAGTAATGGTGATGGATTTCGCGAGTTCTCAGCCCAGTTTACGGCTCGGGTCGTTCACGTTAGCCTGGTCACTATTGTAGCTAGCTGCGGCTAACGGAGCGCACACACCGTGTCAATAAATCCACTCGGTCCGGGCAAAGCGCCCGCGCTCTGGACAATGCAATGAGACTCAAAACACCGCCGTGTTCAAAACTGAGCGGGCTGTCGCTCCCTCACCTGGCTGAGGTTTTCTTTAGCATCAGCAAGGATCCCGTAGTTCCGATAAAGCTCCTCGATTGTGACCGCCATCAGCGTGTGTCCAAGTCCCTAGCGTTCTCGGAGAAGACCGCTGGTGAAACCACGGGAGAGAGAAAGACACGATAGTACCTCGCGGGGTGGCTGTAGCTCAGTTTTGGAGGACCCGCGCAACCACGAACGTCGCAATGTCGGATACTATCGTGGAAGCAACAGAAGCGCGAGGGTGAAATTTCGAGAAAATCGTGAATGAACTCCCCCCTCCGAACGTTCGTTTTCCCGCAATGTTCTCTCTGGCTTAATGGCTGCTACAATGCTACGGAAGGCGAGGCGGTGCGCACGCGTCGCTCTTGCGCGAACAGACAGGTTGAGAGCACGTGACACGCAGGAACGGAAACTGTGTGTCATCGCGTCCGCCATTTTACGAGTGGCAAATCCGCCGAGTACGCTTATCATAGGTCAATTTGACACTCGGAAAATTCGGAAAACACAACCAAAAGCACATCCACAAGGCAGATCCACAATAAATATATTGTTTAAGTTATAAAATACAATTAATTGGTTTTGTTCCAAAAGATTTGTGTAACTGTGAAACCAGTGTCTCAGCCATGAAATGTTTTAGTAATAATGATGTCAATCCTGTTTGATATAATTAGTGGGAGACTAATAAGAAGTTTTGAATCACTGACCGTCTTATTTTAATGCTTATTTGAGTCAATATTTAAATATTTGAAGGGCCTTGTTAATAGTTTTGGCATGTAAAGAGCTTTGGAAATATGGGGGCTGGGCCATAAAATGCTACAGGCAGTAGATATAAGAGGTAAAAACCACATAAAAACATACAAAAGAAAAATGAATTAATATCATACAGACTTCTGTTTTTGATTTTCAGAGAAAGAGAACACGAGTAGAATCAAAAATCCAAAATAAAATGTCAAATGGTTTCATTGACTAGAGAACTGCCACCCTCCACACCAAATTATGTGGAAAAAGTATTCTGTCCCCTTGCTTAATTCTAAAAAAAAAAAGATTTTCCCACAATTTTCAAAAGACAAGTTTCATTTTAAAACTCACACCCAGGTCTGACTCCTGCTGGACCTGTTCCATTTAGAAACCACTTAAGTAGAACCTGTCTAACTGCATGAAACACAGAACAGACGATCTCAACGACAGACGATCTGTGATGTTCTGAAATCATTCTGTTCCCATTTCTCCTCATTCCACAGCAAAATGTTTTTTCAAAAATAAAGCAACACAAACTGAAGTCAGATGAGACAATTTTATTGAACTACGTTTTTCCAACAATACTGTACAAACGGACTTTCAACACAACCGACAAAAGTTCAGTATCTTCACAAGAACCTAATTCCTGCTCCGAACTGGAACCCGTCGCATATCCTGCAAGGAAAACAGAGAACACTTCTGAGACCTAAATCAAAGTAAGCCAAAAGAAAAAAAAATTAAATTGGTTAAGCTAAATGAAATAATCATTATAATCAGAATTATTATTCTGATTATGATGATCTGAAAGACAATCTGAATTGGTTAAGCAAATTGAGAAATAGGTTCTTTATGGTTCAAACCACAGGGTGGAAATAGCAATATAAATTATTTTATCATTATATTTTTTTCCATGATGACAGGTGAAGCTCCCTGATTGCAAATCACCGATATAGAAAAAAAATATTTTATGGTAGAAACAGAAGCTTACACTGTTTTTTTTTAAAACCTAACCTTCCACTAATTTATTTTTTAATTAAATAAGTTGCTCTGTGAGGTGGAAACTTGGTGATTTCAACTCCAAGGAGGAGCTACGTGTTGAAGGCGGGGCTAGGTCCACCAGGGCATTTTTCCACAGCTAAATGGTTGCCACGGGACATTAAAGAATTTCTCAAACATGCATGAAGAAATCAAAGTTTTGCTTTGAAACTTTGATTTCTTCATGCATGTCATTTTGATGAGGGAATAACATTATAACATGATGTAAAGCCCAAAAGTCGATTTTATATAAGAATGCCCCTTTAATTTTTTCTTAAAACTGTTTAGACACTCCGTATTAGGCGCTCAAAAACATTTGTTAAAGTCTCTCTGTAAGGAGAAAATTGAAAATTTATAATAAAAATAAAATTTTCAAAATTATCATTTATTATTTGGTGTTATCATTTTATTATTTTTTCCTATCATATCTGACATTTAGAAGCCCGTTAAATCTGCATGGTAACCGATCTGAACAATACATGATCCAAGGAACTAATAATCAGATTTATGTTAGTGAGGCTTTTTCCTCATAACCATAAAAACAACACAAAGGTCTAAAGTGGCTACCTATCTCCACTTTGGACTCCCATGGGAATGCAGTAATTCAGTTCCACTCTGGCAATGTTCCCCAAACGCAGCACGATGCCCAGCCCATAGGACCAGCGAATGCATTCTGCCAGTTTCTTCAAATGTGCCTGAGGCCCCTCGCCTTGATGGAAGCAGAACACGGGATCTCAATCGAATGGGGTGGAAAAAAAAAAAAGAACAGACGTCTGCAAGAGCTCTGGCTATTTTCGCCTCACCGTAGTTGAGGTTACAGAGGTTTCCGGCGTTAAGGAAGAAATGGGTTCTGAAGAGATCGCCGAAACCGCCTCGGCCCGGTCTGAAGGGCAGAGGCGTGTAAAGGTGGAGGCCTCCCGCCCAATAGGCTTCACCTCCCAGGAAATCACCTGATGCCAGTGAAGTCAGTAACGGCTTTAGCGTAGAACACCAAATTTCAACTTTGCTGATAAACGTCTTTGTCTTACCATCACTTTGTGGGCCCATGCTGTACATACTAAATCCTCTGATGCTGGTCGGGCCACCAAGGTAGAACCTACAATTTAGCAAAGATACAGTGAGGTGTCTGTTTTGGTTTTTTTTTTAAATATCCTGAGGAAAATTTGAGGTACTCGCTCCACATAGTCATTTCTCTAAATATTGCTCTTTTATTTACCTGTCTGCAATGCATGTTGACTTATCACCAATGGATAGAAGAAGGCCTCCCCACAATGAGGCAGAAATAACCTGAATGGAAAAAAAAAAAACTGTTAAGAACAAACTTGGCTTGTGCATTGAGACGACATAATAAAAGTTCATTGTAGGGCTGCAACTATTGATTCCTCTAATGAATCGGATTAACATTTTCTATCTGTAGATCTGACAGTTGCCTGCATAACAATAGAACAGAAGGCTGTGTTTTCTGAGCGTGGACCCCAACGGGAGCAAATGTAAAGAAAATTGAAGGAGACCCAGAACTGAGCCCTGAGGCACGCCACAGAAAGTGTGCCAGGAAATCAAACAGCAAAAAAAAAGGTGGCAGTTTTTTTTAATAGTTTTTAATAGGGTGCGACTTGTACTCTGGAGCGACTTATAGGCCGGAAAATACGGTAAATACTAACAGCTGCTACCAATTGATGATTTAAGGAGGTTTCCATGTGAAAACGTAACCAACTCACCAGTGGAGCAAAACCGTGTCACATTTTGTAAATCAAGCAATAAACCTGGAAGTTTTTGAAATTTTCTAAACTTAACAGTTTAAAATTGGACAGTGTAGTGTGATGTTGGTACAGGTGGCTATTTTTAATGAAATTCAATAACCTCAGAGTTGAGTCGTTGGTGTTTTTTGCTATTAACTCTGGCTTATCTTTAAGTTTACTTTTTTTTTTTTTTTGATGATGTGAAACAGTTGAGTGTAACAGCAGAGAGAAAACAAATAAAATCTGTCAGTGGAGCTTGACATTTTTCACCCCCACATTCAAACCCGCCATCATCTGTATTTTGGATGACGATCTTTGATAAGTGGATCAGGAGTTCAACGATAAACCTCACCGAATCCAAAATGAGAGTTCTGTTGAGTTGAATCTCAAAGTCCTCCTTCAGGAACCTGGCGTCACCCCCTGTGTAACCAGCCAGTTCCTGCACAGACACGAAACGTCGGCGTTACAAACAAGAGCCGTCACATTGTCGTCACATGGCAATAAACAGCCAAAGGAAAATGTTCCACTGAACACCGAACCTGATGAATCTTCAGTAATCCGCCTTTCCTCGGAAGGATGGAGGAGTTCCTGGTATCGATGACCATAGCGTGCTGGAAAACAAGACAACGGGTGCTAACAATATTCAATTTGCTTTTTCTTCTCAGAAATGTCATTGTCTCCCACTGGACAGCAACATCTAAATAAGCCAGTGAAAATTTCTTCATAAGAAGATGTTAATGAAGCTGGTCTAAAGCCTTTTTTCTGACCACCTTACAACCAATTCTTTTTTGTTTTTTTTGGAACCAAACGGCAATTTTTGACCACATACCATAACGTTTTGGTGTAAACAAGGAAGAGAAATACCGAAAGGGAAGACTTGAGCGAATGGCCGCTCTCCTGTCGGATAGCGAAAGAGGCCGTCTGACCCAGAGAGCACAGCTCTCTCCACACCGCTTCCCACTTTAGGGTTTGGCTGGTCTTCCACAAAGGAAACTGCGTGTGGTAGGTGTGAAACAATTTTTGAGTTAGTAGAGATCTGCAATAATAATTTATCATACAGCATTTTCCCGTGAGGCGGTGTTTTTTTTGTTGTTGTTTTTTTTTTTTACTATTTTTACTATTCAGATTACATAATTCACACATTAAGCTGTTCATAGTAAGCCCAACAAAATAAACCTTCATAGAGGCAAATACAGTGATGAACAAAGACATCTGGAATGACGTACACAACTAACATGTTTACACTTTCATTCACCACAGTACGTTCTGAATGAAAGGCTCATGTCAGACGTTACTGAAGAAGCTGAACTTGAGCTCAACCAGTTTCAAACAAGCAGACAAACCCCCCCCGAAAACCAAACAGCATTCCTGATGGTGCAAAATGTGACAAAACGGCACTTAAGCAAAGCGCTTACGCTAAGTTCTGTAGAGATGCCTCGATCCGTCTCTCTTAGTGAGCTCCACGGAAACTGACCTGTAACTTTGTACGCGTTGACAGAGATGCTGAAAGCGAAAAGAAAAGAGATGTCACGGTTTTACATTTGGTGGAGCTTTTAATCTATGGTTTAAAGTCCTTCTAACCAGATTGCGGAGCCTCACTGCTCTGTGAGGCGGACGCTTACAAACTGCAGCTCCGAGGAGGAGCTTTGTCCTTGAAGGCGGGGCTAGATCCACCCCGGCATTCCGCAACGCTGAATGGTTGCAAAACCATCCAGCGAAACCATGCATGAAAATAATCAAAGCAACACTCCAACAACTTTCCGTTGACATTATAACATGACGTTATAACGTTATAATGTCATGTTATAATGTCAACATCATGTTGATATTATAACATGAGGTTAATCTCAAAAGAGTCAAATTTGCATGATACTATCCCTTTAAGTTTTTGTATGTTCTTACAAAATTTGATTGACCTCAAAACTGTTTCTGTTTTCTAAGAGATGATCTCATATCTTACTTGCGCTCAAACTGTCCTGGTTGGGGTTTGAAGAAGGAGAGTCCGTACGATGTCTCTTTGGTGCCGTAGGAGAACTGGAATGTCAGCTTTTCTGCCCGACCTAACATATTTGGTAATTTTAGTCCGAGTACCTGAAACAAAGGAAAGTAAAAGCAGGAAACGACTTACTTTAATAAAACCTGATGTTACAAATTACATGTAACAATATATATCTGATAATAATAAAAATAATGATGATAATAACAATAATAAATGTTAACTTGGCTCAAAACACTAACCATGCTCCCTTCATTGTTTCCGACCATAGTGTTATAGCTGCCTGTCAAACGCCTGTGCTCAATGACCTCAAAGGTCACGTCAAGACCATTAGGAAGGGCGCCTTCACCTGGAGGAAAACAAAACAAGAGGGATGCACCGATATGAAAATTTGGGCCAATAACAATATCCGATATTAATATTGTTCTCACAGACAATAACGATATTGTATACAAATAATAAATATATATATTTCACTACACCATCAAAATCTTGAAAAAACAAACACACCACGGACTTCAACAGTTTCTCTGCTTCAGTTAAACAGTAACCGCATTTAATCATATTCAAAATTACTCACATTTATTGACGCACCTTTACAGAAGAAACGGTGGGTAAAAATAGTAAAAATAACAATACAGACATTTTGGAGGGTTTTAAATATCATGAATTGGAATTTATTATGACAGCGCAAAAAAATTATCAGAATAAATAGTAAATAATATGAAAAATGTCCACCATCACTTCCCTCACCCTCCAGAAAAAAATGGAAACATGATGGAAATAAACACTGGTTGTTAATACCGACCCAGTTTTATTCACTGGATCGACATATCGATACGTAAAATGACTAACACCCATCGATACCGATATATCGCGTGTCCCAATAAAACAAGCTAAGAACATATGAACTCTGCTCGTGCACTGGAAAACGAAACTCTTCCAAATAAAAATGAGGCGACAGACGATACCTCGCGAAGTGTCAATGACAACCTCCACCTTTCTGAAGATACCGAGACGCAGCAGCTTCTGTCGCGCTTCGTGAGACCTCCGCATCACCTGCGTCACAAATTCAAGCGTGTTGATGCCAGCGACTGCTCCAAACACGTAGGCACTGAACAAGCAATAAACAGTGCGGTGGGATGAGGCGGACGTACGTCAATCAGGTCTTTTGCCCTGAACACTTCGGCAATTTCATAACTCAAAAAGTCATCCTGTGTTCTTCCAAGTCCATCTATGTGGACTCGCTGGACAACAACCTGAAAAAACAAACAAACAAACAAACAAACAGAAGAAAAACAGTCTGACATCTCATGAACAACCAAAATAAAATTCAACAGAGCAAATGACAAAACAAAATATCAATGGAAGTCATTAATACACAGTCCTGTGTGGTCATAAAGGAATAAATCCATCCTTTTAAAAGTAACAATGAGATACTGCTACCATGTTTTGAGATATTCCTGCCTAAAATTAAAAATAGTGACATACTCACGTTTTTGTTTTCAAGAACTTCTTGCTTTGGCTCCTGTTCGATCTCCGGAGCCTCGATGTCATCTGCTTGGACGCCTAACTCTGGCCCCTGCATGGGCAGAGGGTCGAGGCTCTGAGGACACAAAATATGTGGAAAACAATTAAAATCACTCAAAGCACACATAGTGTTTTACCAAACTTATGTGTTAAATATATATATAAAAAAACAAACATATTTAATTTAATCAGATGTTTAAACAGAACAAGATGGATTGAGGGAGGAGTAACAACAGAAACAAAACCAAACGTCACAAGGCAACATAAGCAACACACATAATAGCCCTTGTATTAATGTTTTTAGGGCAACACTTTATTTGAGGGGGTGTGTCCCACATGTCAGAGAAGCTGTGTGGAGAATAATAGCTGAAACTTATAATACTCTTCACAGCACAGAAATCTTCCACAAGTGTGCTTTTTCTCAACAGGTCCATGTGCCGTAGTAACAAATACACTGCTAACAGTATTATTTCAAGAATAATAACCAATATGCTACAATATGTTGGCTCCAGCATTAATAGCTCGCTGTTCTGTTTCCAATGAAACCATCATACATGGTCATACAAGCTTAATAATGGAGAATATGATTAAAGGGCAAAGGGCAACAAAAACAATGAGTCAGGAAATTACTTTTACATGTCAATGAGAAAATCATCTTTTTAGTCAAACTTTTCCAAGACTTTCTGGTCAAAAATGTCCAAACAGTGTTGCAGGTATGAGCATAATCTGCTTTTATGGCTTTAGCCACACAGGCATCATTGCAGATGAATGGTTCCTTGTCCTTGAGCTTAACATCAATTCGTCGAGACTAAACAGTTCCTATCTTGAATTAATAGCACCGTGCTACAGAGAAGCGGCATGCTGGAGCCCAGTTAGAGCCTCGCCGGGTGAACCGTGTTGGGCCTCTTGCTTCCAGTCCAGAAGCCGCTCTGACGGATAAAATGCTCAGAGGGGTCAAAGTGCTGGCCGACACTTTGATCCCGGCGGACTCCTCCTTACCCTGGCATGGACGGTGCCCATGCTGAGCTCCGCTCCGCTCGGCCGCTGTCCCGAAAACTACTGGAGACACTCTTGAGCGGAAAATGACAAACTACTTTAACCTACAAGTAACCGAGAGAGAAACGAAGGAGCCTCCGTATAAGGAGGCGGCCATGTCACTTCCTGGCCACGCCCTTTCCGGGGAGTGTTCAACAGCGCGACTCCGAAACGGGTCGCTGCGAATCTGTGGATGCAGACCGGAAGTTGCTTTATTCAAACAAATGCATGGAAGTAAAGGAAAACAAAAAAAATCTATTTTACTGTTTTTAACGGGGCCTGTTGGTTTTGAAAAATCTGTACACATTTGACATTCAAGATTATGTTTTTGAAATGATGCAACATTTTAACAATAATTCAAACCCAAAGACATGGAAGCCTATTGCCACCTGCTTTGAGGCGTGGGGACATTTACCCAGTTACATTCACTTGACTAAAAACTATTTTTAGATTTTTTTTTTAATGAAAAAATTACTTTTAATTTAGCAATATCAATGTGAGATATCACTTTTCTTACTTGAGTAAAATGTCAGGATACTCTTCCCACCAGGAGTGATTTTACCGAATGAAGATTATTTTAACCACAAATGTATTTTAATCACATAGTTCATGTTGAAACGAGGCATTTTTTTTTCGCGCCATTTGGAAAATCAAGAAGATGGAGAGAACACAATGCGCGGTCATTGAAAGTAGTTTATTTTATTAATATTTTTTGTTTAATTTAGTGAGCTGATATGATCATTTACTCAATACTTACGTCTCGTTTTTACCAAATACTTTTTTACTCACTCGAGTCATTTCTTGGACAGCTTCTTTTTGCTTGAGTAGAGATATGTTGGAAGTAATGCTCTAGTGCTACTCTTGAATTCAGAACATTTCCTGTATACTCACGCACAGCTTATAATTATAGTGTAATTATGACACTGCGTCCCATAAGATAATTACAAGATAGGTAATACTGAGAAAGCAAAGTCATAAATTCTTAACTATTGTCTCATATTAATGAGGTCCCTGTTCTTTGTGTGCCATGAATGAGTTTCTGTAAAAGTAAAAATTAGCAGCCATAAGATTAAATATGGCTAATGTTATATAAAAAATATGATTAGTGTGTGGAAAAATACATAAAATTAAGTAAAAGATCAGGCTTAGCGGAGAGACTATTTGACAAGAGTGGATACTAGTATATTTATTAAAATTTACAATTTAAAAGAACATAAAAATTGAATCAGAATGAGCACAATTCATCAGGGACTTTCTGCATTTTCCACAGGCTTAGCAACTTCATGTTTTCTACCTGAAGCAGACAAATAATATCTCTAAAACCATAAATAACATGAAATAAAATAACAGCCGTTGCACAGGAAGGAGAAAAAAAATTAAGAAAAACTTTCAGAACTTTGCATATGTTGCTGAGTCTCTAACCAGAACTTCCATCCTAAAAAGAGAAGAAAATAAAAACTCGCTGAATGATTCATAACAAAACATAGTATGACATGCATAGGAGACTCAGCGAGCTGCACTTACGCGTCGGTTTTAAATGTCTCGTGGGATATTTTGTCTTTCTCTTTGCCCTCAGGGTTTTCATTGATGTGCTTTATGCCGAGCATGGTCAGAGCTGCGGGGGGAGAAACAGTTTTGTAAATAGCAGGCTGCGTTTTGGACGATATTCACATTGAAACACTGTAAATTACAGTAATAATATGGCCTTTGAAAAAATGCGATTGATACTTCAAAACTGGCCTAGTTGAGATCATCAGCAATATGACCTGTATTGATCATCAACAATTGACCTGTACAGATTAATTGGTGGCCACCCCTGTGACACTGGAGTTAGATCTTATTATAATTATAAGCTTATTCTTGCAGCTTCAAGCAAGAGTTTGTGGTTTTCAGAACCTTAAAAAGAGTGTGTTCACAGAAAATAGGTAAGCTGCAGTTTTAAGACTTCCTGAAAGCAACCGGCAGCACCACTCACCCTGCCTGTACTGTTCAAAACTGATGTACTTCTGGTTAGCGGGATCCATTATACCGCAGATGGCAACCAGGTTGGAGTTGTCAAACAGAGTCGGCCCTCTCATCCCAGTTTCCCGGGAAACCTTCAGCTGCTCCAGCTGCTCAATGAGAAACTCCTGGGGATTCTCTGAATGACACAATCATTGAACACGTTAACGACGAAGGAAAAACTTACACACACAATAACTAATGAAAATTAGTCATTTAAGAAAATAAATTGTAAAATGAGCAAAAGAAAGGCTTGCTACAGGATCAACACTATCAAGATATTCAGACTAAATATTTTGACTACTGTGACAATCAAGCATCAAAAGATTGCTCTAGATATCTAGCTGTGATATTTAGCTTTAAATTATTTGCAGGAACTGTTGTTTTCACAGGGCGAGAACGTGGACCAACAGTGCTATTTTTTCTTACACACATGACAATTATTTTTATGCGTAAATATTTTCATCAGATCCACCTCGACCTTACACTTTCTGTATCCACCAACAAACATCTGGAATGATGTTTGATAGGTTCATTCGGCTCGGTGTAAAAACAGGATCAACTTTGTTCCTTTGCGTTATTTTGACTTTCAAATTTGCGGGACAATTTTTGTTTTTCATGGTTTTTGGATTTTACATCAAAACAAAGTTTGTCATAACTTTTAGAAAATTTGAATTAGACAAAATTGGACCTCAAAGCAAAATTGAATTCCGCTTTATGCATGGTGTAAATACTCATTTAGCCCTGATCACTAAACAGGCAAAGATAACAGACAGCAACTTCTCTTTTAGAGATTTAGCTTTTGAACTTAATCCAGTGCGAATTTAACAAGGCAAATAAGCCCAACAACGAGCATCTCTTCAAAGTTCATTCTTAAAAAGTGACCAGTTAATTAACATTAAATCACTTGATTGGTGTCAGAATTCAGTGACGTTGCGCATAATTTAAACAAACCGCAAATCAGCAGCTGTGGGGAAGAAATGGGGCTAATGAAGCTCGCGAAAGACGGATATTCCGTGCTGGAGGAAGAAATAAACTCTGACCGGGTCTGTAAAACAGGAGCATGCTGGTCATGTTGTCCATGAGCTCAACAATCTTGTGTTTCTTGAGATATTCTGCCGCGTCTTGCTCTCTCTGGGTCGCCATTTTTTCCTCTTCTCTGTCGAATCAGGTTGCTATGATACCACGGGACGGGCGCGCGCACGGAAATGGTAAAACTCCCTCCGTCAACAAGAGAGAGAGAGAGAAAGGAGGCAGGTCTGTAAATATGTATCAATATGTTTTTCTGCTTCTGTTCGACACTAAAAATATACATTTTATTTACAATGGCGCCATACTTCGAATTTATGTCTTAGGGGCTTAAGAAGACGACGTTCGTCTTTCACAAAAAAGTTTCAAATGCTCAAATAATGTACACGTCGCTTTAGTTTCACACATACATACATATATGTATATATAAATCAAAGTGGATTAGAATTTGTGAGATTGATAAGTTGCTCCCAGCATTCCAGTTTCACTGGAATGCTATTATTTATACATTTAACCATCTAGCTGGAAGCCATGGCAGTAATGGGTATCACATGTGTAAATAAAACATTTTCATATTGTTTAACTCCTTTAATTACTTCAATAAAATAAGCAACACTTAAAATGGACAAAACGGTCATCAAAATAATCGTGCTCATGACAGTGACTCAGAGAAAGCCAAGTGTGATTGCAACTGATTGTTATAAATGGCTGAGACCTCAGTCAAATGTAAGAAGGCTGGAGGTAATAATGATGCAGATGAGCATCATTATGATGCCACGTGATGGTTCTGTTCTCCAGGTCTCTTTGCCTCAGCTTCATTCAGACATGAAGATTTATTGTCTGTGTACAACATCAGGCAAAGGAGCAACGTATCAGCTGCAGTTGTTTCATCAGAGATTCTGTCCCAAGGTACACAGTAGTTATTTCTTCTAAAAGAAGATTTTCCCATCAGTCCACTTTTTGTCCTTCTTTGAGCTTCTGAAAGGCGGCAGCAGCTTCTTCTCTAGCTTTGTAACCGTGCAGTTCTGTCCGAAGCTCCCCGGGTTTTGGTGGGATTTCTGGTATGCTCTGAAATACAAAACAAAAACCAAGCAATGTTGGCCTGAGCACCACATTTGCAGTCATAGTCGAAACAAATGTTGATATTAAACTATTAAAACGTTTTCAGACGTGTTCTGGGAACTTCTTTTGTTTTACAGTGTCAATACATTTCACAAAATTGTTAGCTGGTTGTGCGTGTATTTGAAAAAATGCACAGCACATTTTCACTTAAATTTGCTTTTAAAGGTTTTTTTGTTGTTTTTTTTTATCATATGTTGTACAATCAATTCACACTGAAAAAAAAAAGCTAGAATAAGTCAAATAAATATCATTTAAGAGTTATTTTCTTAAATATTGATGAGGACTGTTTCTAAACTTCTTATCAGGAAGTTACAAATGAAAGAAAGGAAAAAAAAAAACAACAGAGCTTACACAGTGACAATGGAGTCAAGCTGCCTCTTACCAGATCTGGAAGGTAGTACTGATGGACGACTTGTGCTCCTGCAAACATGGCCAGAACACTGGCTCCCAACATCTGGATGTACCGCGGCCACGACACACCAGCTGGCATCTCTTACAGAGTGATGGCCTGAAGGAAAGATGATTGCGCAAATTAATAGAGGAAAAAGAAAAAACCTATAATAAACACTTTCTACTGTTTGTTAATGCCAGGCTTAGTTCAGCACATTTAGCTGATCTTTATACCCTTGAAATTCTCCAAAAGTTCCAGAGAAGGGTCTTTAGTTTCCAGCGTACAAAAAAAAAGTCACAGTGCAATGTCTTGTCATTTTCTTATGACTGCTCTTACTATGTAGCACATTAGTCTGAATGCAGAAAAATGGATTCCCACACCTTGATGATCCCACCATCAGTGTGGGGGTGCTGAGCTCAGCTCTTTCACCACATAAAATATTTCCATTTATCAGTAAAATTAATTTTGACGTGCTACTTTCATTTTTGTTTTGTCGGCTTTTTTTTTTTTTTTTTTTTTTTGCAGTAAGCCTACTCGTCTATACATGGTTTTTAATCTGAAGTATGAATATTGCCTGAAAAAGCCA